TTTTCCCCCATATCCTTGCCAACATTTGTTATTGCTTGTATTCTGACTGGAGTGAGAGAAAATCTTGGAGTAGTTTTGATTTGCATTTGTCTAATTACTAGAGATATTGAGAAGTTTTTTATATTTTTGTTGGTCAATTATATTTCTTCTTCTCTGACATGTCTGTTCAGTTCTTTAGCCTATTCGTTGATTGGATTTTTTTTTTTTGGTGTTGAGTTTTTTTGAGTTCTTTTTATATCCTGAAGATTAATGCTCTATCTGAGGTGCATCTAGTAAAGATTTTTCCCATTATGCAGGCTTTCTCTTTGCATCATTGATTCACAGTAGCCTAAAAAAATACTTGGGAATCAATATAACAAACGAAGTGAAAGACATATACAATGAAAACTACAGAAAACTTGAGAAAGAAATTGAAGAAGACTGTAAAACATGGAAAGATCTCCTATGTTCTTGGATAGGCAGAATTAATATTGTCAAAATGGTCATACTACCAAAAGTTTTATACAGATTTAATGCAATTCCAATTAAAATCTCAATGCCATTTTAGTTGTACATGATGTAGAATCATATCAGTGATTACATTGAATTACATGGCTTAATCAAGGTACTTTGAATTAGGTGGAGGGGAGTGAAGGGAGGGGAGGGAGGAGGGGGGGAGGAAGGAAAATTGAATGAATTGTATGCCATTACCAATCACACAGAAATAGGAAAAGCAATCATGAAATTCATTTGGAAAAATAGGAGACCCAGAATAGCCAAAGCAATTCTTAGCAAGAAAAGTGAAGCAGGAGGCATCTTAATATCAGAACTTTAACTATACTACAAAGCAACAGTAACAAAAACAGCATGGCATTGGCAATAAAACAGACACAACACCAATGATACAGAATATAAGACACGATAAAAACCCACATGCAATTATCTCATACTAGTCAAAGGCTCCAAAAACATATTGTCTTCAACAAATAGTGCTGGGAAAACTGGAAATCCATATGTAGCAAAACTAAATTAAACTCCTATCTCTCACCCAGCATGAAACTCAACTCAAAATGGATCAAACACTTAGACACTAGAATAGAGACCTTGTGCCTGTGAATGGATATGCACACTAAGGCTGTTTGCCCTCTACTGTGCAGTCATTCAATAAAAAGCTTTGGAATATTGATTAAGCTACATGTGAAATACTTTATTATCATTAATTCACTATTTATTTTTTCCTTCAAGACCTCAAGGATAGCCTCCAAATTCATTATTATCATTGATCCAGCCTTTGATCCATTGATGATGGATCTTCCAGTTGAATAGACATGGCATGGAGAAGAACCAGCTAATTAGGAAAAAAATGTTTTATATTGAGTACATACCGGGCTTCTGTTGATTACTTGTTTTCTCTTTTACTTTCTGACATATTTTCAAATGGTCTTGTTTGGATTTTTGACACAAGAAACACCAATTTTTCATGGAAGGCCCAAATCTCCACCATGTTGACTTAGGAACCGTCTTTCTTAACAAGACTCCTAAAGCACAAGAAGTAAAATCATGAATTAATACATAGGATGGATTCAAACTAAAAAGCTTCTTCTCAGCATAGGAAACAATCAATAATGTAAAGAGAGAGCCTCCAGTACATTTTAATATTATGAAACTGAAACTCTGTCCCATTAAGCAACTACGTGTTTTCCTCCTCTTTTCCCCGTGAAAACCACAATTCTATTTTCTGTTTCTAGTGATTTTGACTGCTCTATTCTGCTCCCACCTCATATAAGTAGAATCATCCATAATGCTTTCACTTTATATTTCACAAGATTTATCCATTTCATAGCATGTACCTGAATTATCTTTTAATGCTGAATTATATTCCACTGTGTGTGTGGTGGGGGAGGTGTGTGAGCATGCACACACATATCCATTCATCCATAGGTGAACACTAGTGCTGCTTCCACCTCTTGGCTATTGTGACTAATTCTGCTATGTATATGAGCTTAATGATTAATTTTAGGTGTCAACTTGACTACATTAAGAAATCCCAAAAGAATAGTAAAGCATTATCCAGATGTGTCTGTGAGGGTATTTCCAGAGTAGATTATTGTTTGTCAGTGAACTCAGTTAAAAAGATCTCTCATTTTTAGCAGTCACTGTCCAATTAGCTAGGAACAGAATGGAACAAAAAAGCAAAGATCAGGTAATTATTTTTCCTCTCTCTGAACCTAAGACCCCACACCTCTCCCCTCAATGTAAATTAAGACTCCAGGCTCTCCAGCCTTTGGACTCCAGGACTTAGAACCCTGGACCTCAGCTCTTCAGACTTGGATGAGAGTTGCAACACTGGCTTTCATGATTCTGAGGTTTGGGACTTGAATTGAGCCATGCTACTGGCATTACAGGGTCTCAAATTTTCAGGAGGACCATTGTGGGGCTTCTCAAACTCCACAACTGCATGAGCAATTTTACTAGTAAAATACCCTCCTCTCTCTCTCTCTCTCTCTCTCTCTCTCTCTCTCTCTCTCTCTCTCTCCACACACACACACACACACACACACTATATATAGATAGATAGATAGATAGATAGATAGATAGATAGATAGATAGATAGATGATACATAGATAATCAGCACCTATTGGTCCTTTTTCTCTAGAGTTCTAATATCATGGATATGCTAATATATCTTTGGGAATCTGCTTTCTAATTATATATGCCCTGAAGTCAAATGGGTTGATCACATGATAATTCTACTTTTATTTATTTTTTTAAGGAAACTCCATACTGTTTTAAATAGAGATGACATTACTTAACATTCTCACCAAGAATGCACTAAGAGTTGTAATTTCTCCACAATGCATGTCATCTTTGGAATTTTTTAAATGGTATTTGTCTTAATGGATGTTAAGCTGTATTGTATATCCTTGAGGTTTTGATTTGAATTAACCCAATAATTAGCAAATTGAACATCTTTTAATATGATTACTGGTTGTTTATCTTTTTCAGAGAAATATCTGTTCAAATCCTTTCATAATTTTCAGTTGGGTTATTTGGTTTTTGTTGTTGAATTGTG